AGGCCTCCTCGGGGAGCAGAGGCTCCGCTTATGTTTTTGTATTTGAGAGTAATTTGCATTCTTACTCTTTAGAGTTTTTGTCAACACTCGAGGGGGACACCGACAGTTTAACGAAAAAAATCGCGTATACGGGGCGCAGGTGGGATCGAAACCCGGATCCACAGATTACGAGTCAATCGCACTGAACGGCGAGCCGTACCGATTGTTCGTGTGCCATTGTAGCAGCATTAATGTAGCACATTACCAGCAGTGTCGCAATGCCGTACATTCAATACGGCGTTCAAGCCGTTTTGTGCCGAGAATTGAGATTCACGTGGACAATAATCGATAGAATCAAATTGCTCCGCGTAATTCAAGCTTTCGGCAGTTTGCGCGAACAATCATTGAGTCTTTTCAATCTACTAGTATGACTGGCAACAGAACCTCATCCAGTGAAACTAAACAATAACACAACATCGTATTGGAAAAAAGAACTTGGTTGTATCAATTGAAATGAATACATGATAAGAAATGAACGTATTAAAATGTTCTGAATTGAATCTATTCCAACTTTAGTCAAGGTAAAGCAAAGGCAAAAATTCTGATACAATGATCTTTCTGGTTCGTTTCAATTTTTCTCAATCCAATTTCATACTCGATGTAAATGTACTCTCTAATGTCTTTGGGATCTCACTTCAAAGAGAGAAAATTGAGCTAGCCTTGAAAAAGAATCGCTTCATTTTCAATTCTTAAGAGAAAGATTCATTCGAAAAGTTTGAAAAAGTAATACAAAACATATTCTACTATGAAATTACAGTATCGACGTTATTGTTACTGGATATAAATTCTGCGTGAACAAAGCGTTAGGATCGACCCAACTGCCGGCCGGTCCCGAACCGGACACGAACGGTTTTTTCTAATGTGAACCTTGACAACAGGTTATATCGGAGATATTTGAGAAAATGTGAATTATTGCAAAATACATGTTACTTTGCCCTTTTTACTTATACTTTCTACATTTTTTTCTTGAAGTGATCTTATTCTATTATTCTATTGTGAAGAAATCTTTTTTCTTTTCTAAAGAACAAAAATTGAAGGTCTCTCAATATTTATTATTTCGTTTGTAAAATATTTCTTTGGTTTCTACTTTTTTGCCTTCAGAAAATTGTGAGTAAATTCATATTCGTAATGTTCTCAAAAATACTGATAAGTCAAAAAACAGTCGATAATATTAATATCATTGTTTAACTTTAAAAGTGATACAACTAAAAAAAATTAAGTTTTTCAGAAAAAAGGAAAAATTATTTTTCAACTTAATGGACAATTACTGATCAATGAAATAATATCAGTGAAAACAAGATTAGAAACATGATCGAATGTCATTTGCTCGCCGCTGAGGTAACGGGTGATTATTCTTAAATTAAAATTGAACCTTCACACGCATTGCCTCAGTTTATGAACCTATAATCAATAGGTCCGAGATTCAATTAATTCTCATTCGACACTTAAGACTTAATAAGATTTAGATCTCGATTGAGAGTTAAGGAATTGAGAGCTTCGAAAATATCGCGATGAATATTCGACATTAAAAAAGAAAAACTTACAAGAATCATTTGGTGACAAGAATAGTTGCAACTTGTAAACTTGCTGCTGCTGCTGCTGCTGCTGTTGCTGCTGCTTCCTCAACTCCACCAACTTTTGCAATTCGTGCAAATCCAACTGACCCTCTTTTAGTTGTTTACGAAACAAGTGATGGTAATAATTCGCATCAAAATCTTTGTCGTCGTGGACCTTCGTGACTACTGTAGGTACGATTGGCAACAACATTGTTGTTTTCTTTATATCCCTGTTAAGGGCTTTAATCTCGATCGATTTATTAACACTCCGCCGAGGACAAGTTTCCTTCTATCTATATCACACTGCGGTGCACTTCACTTTCAAAGCCAATCCACTCACGGGTCGAGAGAAAAAAACTCAGAAAAAAACACTCTATTTACATATGTGTACAAACTGTCGTCGTATTCTATTTCTTTCTCTCTCTCTCTCTCTCTCTCAACTATCTTTGCCTATCAACTCCCTTTGTTTATTACTCCCCCATTTGTTACTTTTCGCGCGCGACCCAAGAACGTGACACTGCCGCGAACCGCGAAGTTGTGTGGTCGGCACGCGTGCGCGCGAATTCGTGAGAGCCGCCGTATGTACGTTCGTATGTATGTGTGTATGCGTGAGTGCGTTTCCGGGTGAACGGAAAAAAAAAAAAGGGCGTTTATTATAATATTCGGTGATCTTGCCGTTTATACATCCTTCTCGTTTTACCGTGCTCGCCGATAGTGCCGCACTGAAACGATATATTATTACCGCGATCACTACTACTAGTACTAGTATTGTCACCGTCGCTACCTCTGCTGCCACTGTCGTACTGTGTCAGACGAGGGATGAATTTCATTATCGGCGCGCGCGCAACACTCCGGCGACTCTTAGGCACCTACCGGCTTTACTACGATCTGTTGGCACTGTCACGCGTACTGTCAGACCCGGCGAGCGTATAGCGTACCTCACCGTGCGGCAGGTCAGACGAGACTGAAGTGACTGAACTTCCTGAACGGCCAGCATACAGCGATCTTCCATTTTACGAACGTATCCCCACCCGTTGGCGCTACCGCTGTCTCGAGGCAGGGGCGGCGTTGACTCACAGGGCCCCTGCCAAGGTTCACCAATATATTTTCCAGAATAGGAGTGGAGGAAAAATCTTCTATGCTATTGGCAGAGTCGAAAACGATCCCGAATATCAATGGTTTCCAATAGGCTACTCGAAATCCTATTATTCCTACTACCTGCATTTTGGGTTTTCTTAAGACATCATTGTAGAGTCACCCTTGTAGCTGTTTTTTTGATTAATGATCCCGTTAATGATCAATGTATCCCAACAATACATGTCCAGAATTTACTAAAGTCGGAGCACAGACTTTTGCAATATTAATTTATTTTATAATTTTTCTATATTTTTCTCAATTTCTCTTTATAATTTCTTAATATTTGTTCATTACTTTGTTAAGTGACTCTGTTTAACCTTTCATTATTCGCGTGCTTTTAAAATAAGATTTGTTACAAAACATAAAATCCATATATTAAGAATCTCTAATTATAAAAAATCCTGCCAAGAATAAAGTTTCAAAAGCTAGCGGAGAGATATACACATATTAAAAAATACATACGTCAAGTTTTTGTATTATGACTACGATATATATAATTGAAGAAATTTTATTGTAATCAAAATTAAGTAAGTTGTTAGAACTTTTAAAAGAATTTATTATGTCGATTACGAAATATTTCGATAAAGAAAATATTTGTGATTATGGAAATCTATTGTATTAAAGTTACAACTTATATAGATCATTAAAAATCTACTAATCATTTTTTAATTATGTTATTTATTTAATACTTACGTGAACAATATAAACAAATATAAAATATAAAAATTTTAATGTTATCGAAACGATTAATTATTTGATAGCATAACAAATCTCAAGAAAAAGAAGAAAAAGGATAAATATTATACGAGGATATTATTTTAGGATTAACCAACTTTTATCCGATGTGTAAGTGGTACAAAATAGAGTTCATTGTTGCTGTTTTAGTTCAAAAATTGATGGCAAAGACTCATTAATATGTGTAAAAAAAATTAATTGGTCCTACCAATATATTACAACATTTATATTACACAATTCTATTATAATAACTTTTTTCCTTTTTTTCCTGAGATCTATTATCCCGCTACGTGGATAGTCGATGATATTAAAATTCTTATTTTTATTGTTACTTTATATTTATTTTTTAAAGAATTAAGCATATCTGAACTTAGAGTTTAGGATTCTTAATCTGAGCACAAAGATTTATCTTTTGCCACAAATCGTATTTTAAAAGCGCGTTTCAATTTTTAATCCTTTTCTTATAAGCTTAAATTGTTTCATAATTTTGTTTTAAATTGTATTTATCTTTATTTAAAGCATGTATAATATATAGAATATTATCAATCTTTATTTAATTGTAAATCGTAAAAGAGAATACTAAAAATAGAGTATTGACAGTTAAAAAGTATCTTAACGACTATTTGATGAATTTGAATTTAACTTCTAAATAATGCTATAAAATTTTAACTAATTTATGCAGTTTTTAGTGGCAATTTTTAACGACAATACTCGATTTATGGGCAATGCATATTATACATCTTTTTAAAATATTATATGTGTATTGAAGAAAACCTGAAGAAATAAAACCGGCCTTTTTAAAATAAATTTCCTGTTTTTAGAAAGTCCTTTGTCAATCGGAACTTTCTAACAAAGAATCTAAAGGAAAATCTTCTTTTCTAAATATTGTTGGGATCGTTAAAAACGATATTTTTGACTTCGGAGAAAAGTATCAAGTAAAAATAATAATTAAGATAAAATAAAAAAATTTTCATTTAAACAATAAAATTGTATTATTAAATATAAAATATTAACTTTTTATTAAAGTCTTTCATTTTTATACGAAAAATATTAATGTTCAATTCCAATTATTCTTCAGAGACTATGCACCTAATATATCCTTAAATTAAAAAATCTATATTTATCTTATTTCTTGCGGAACTCTTTTATATTAAAGATGTCTGTAAATGAGAAAGCAATAAAATAAATTTCTTTATGTGTGAAATAAGTATATGTGTAATGTCGAACGATACTAAATGAAATAAAGGAAATTGGAATATGTGAATTGGAATATGTTAAGCTTGAAGTAGCGTGCTTGCCGTTCTGCATCGACATGTCATTTTCCATCGTGTTACGAATTTCATAACACGAACAAGCAAAGCATATTGCACGGTTATTATGAATCTACGCGTTACATTTCCGGCCTTTTTAGCGTAACCCAATAATGACTTCCTTTCGTTGTTCGATGCATTTCCGAAGGACACGCACGTGTTCTCTTAATGATGGTTCTATATTTTTCATATTCTACTTCAATAGTTAATGTTAGAAGCAACTTTCTCTCGATTTTGAAAATAAAATTTACAATTAAAGTTGGTTAATGAAAGTACGGCATGGAACTTTGTACACAATTCATATATGTGTTTCCTACATTTGTGGATAACGATTAATTTTTTTAGTGACGAATAATTTTACTAACTAATTTTACTACTAATTTTATTAATTTTACCGAGGAGAGAATACAGTTTATTACAGATTTTAAAAATCGTTTACATATGAAATACTTAAGATCGTAAGGAAGAAATGAATGAATAGAGTACAAATACGATATTCTTTTTTTTTCTTTTTCTTTCTTTATGACGTACATTTTACAATACACATTGTATTTTTTTTTTGTTTTTTTTCTTTTCCTTTTTTTTTATCAGCGTAACAAAGGATATGACGGATGGGTAAACACAATATAGTGATACGAATAAATTTTTTATTCATCTTATTACATTGATTTTTCATACGTCCTAAAAAAAAACTAAAGCTAATAGCTTTATTTTCTTTAACATAGTTTTAAAATTCCGTTTTTCAATTTTTTTATATGTTCAGTCATTGTCTGATTAATTCCGCCATTTTTTATCAGACAAATTAAAAATGAGACAAGTCTAGAGTCGGACTTTCTTTTACTTCTAGGGATACTAATTCAATTATAAAACGCTCCTTAGCATAAGAAATTAGCGCTTTTTCCAACGCATCATGCTCATATCAAGGAATGAAATTGATTTTTATCAGTATTTACATCGCACCACGTCGATCTAATCGACGAATGTTTCGTTATTCTGCGCAAGCTCTCGATCCGCAATGTTATATAATTCGCGGCACAGAAAAAAAGATGTTGAAATAGCACACTTTACATTACATTCAAGGGCCACTCACGTAACATAAACAGTTCTGCGAAGTCTCATTGGTACAGCGGAAACAGAAATTAATCATATATATATGTTGTACTATCTATCAAGTACATATTGTACTATTATCTTAAAAATAGTAGCTCAGATTCATTTTAAGCTTTCCTCAACACTTAAATTTTCCATAATGCTGAAATCGGTTTTGTTTGTGTTATAGTTTGTAACAGTCAGACAATATGACGCAATATGACTATGTATTCTATACGTGTAATATTTATACGTGGACTGTAAAGTTAATAATAAAATGCGATCAAAAATTTGCGTGTATTTTTATATGATAAAAAAAAAGAGAATTTTAATCTGAATAAAAGATTAAAAACTTCCTTTCATTCTCGATTATTTTATTTCCTCGTGTTAGAGAAGTACTAAGATTAAGTACGTATTTCTTCTATACACAATTGAATACAATAATGACGAGCGCGTGAATGGCTAATACAAGATAATATAAATATCAGGAATCTTCGTTCTGGTACCAGATGCTATACAAAAAATCACGACTCGAATTAGCACGTTTAAACCAAAATACATTACAAGGATGTAGCTCCTTATTGTCGCAATCAAAATAAAAGCAAAGAAATAATATACATATGTAGTCATAAAGCGGAGAAATTAAATTCGTTAAAGTTTAAAGCAGGATTTTCTAAACTTTTGTAAATCGCGACTCACATTTTAGAATAGTAAATTGCGCTATCGATTTACCTTTAGTGGATTTGGAAAAGTGGGAGGAGGGTAGGAATTGATTACTCATTTATATTTACTTTTATTGCTTTTTTAAAATTTTTTATTAAATATACTTTTATTAATATATTTTTCAGTATGAGATGTATGTGAAAAATGCTACATCTATTAATAACAGCATTAATGTCGACAATTACTCCGACATCATTTAGGATCTCAAAAATGAAAGTACACACATTATAATAAAGTCTCTTTTGAGAGAGAGAGAGAGAGAGAGAGAAGAGATGTAAAAGCTAAATACAAGAAGGAGAATTTTACAAAGAGAAGAAGCGAAGAAGAATCGACGTTAGTGAGAGAAATCAGAAACTAAAGTTCGAGAAACGGATCTGTTCAAACAAGAACTGACGCCCTATTACTTGTATCTACTACTATACATGATATCTACTCTACTACATAACATTCCCCATATCTTCTTTCTCCTCCTTATCGCCGCTGCTGTTGCCATTCTTTCACTATCTTCCGTCTGAAAGCTGACCATGGCTCTACTCATTGCTCAGCAACATAGCGCAGCGAGTGCGGATTAATGAATGAAAGAAATCACAATCGCCGTACCAGAACCGCTACTATGTTGGGCGAGGTAACGCGAAAGGATTCGAGAGGGTAACCAAGCGAAACGACTCGCCAGGGATAACGAGCAAAAGCTGATCAATCCTTTATACAACGCTGAAAAGGACTGAGATGAATCTTTCATACAAAATTGTCACTTTTAATTTATTTGCGAGAGAAAAACTTTTTTTTCAAGCGTCTTGGACGTAAAAGCGCAGGATTTATTATAGCCTTATCAAGAGAAAGTTTGTCATTTGTTGGAAAATAAAACTTTCTTCAATAAATTTTCCATTTTCTAAACCCTCATTTTAAAATAGAATTAGCTAGAAAAGAATAAGAAAGTTTACCTGTAACTTTGAAAGAAAAGAATAGAAGATGAAAAGAATAAATTTTCTTTTCAAATTATTTTTTTAAGTTTATATAACATAATTAATTGTTAATATATTTATTAATATTTATTAATAATTTTAAAATGATTAATGTATTAATAATTGTAAAATGGTATTAGGAAAACGATAAACAATAAAGAAATTACCCTTAAAAATGTAATCACTTCTTTAAATAGTTAGTAGAATTTATCTAATAATCCCTGATAACAATTTTTATCAGAATTTTTTATATAATTTTTCGAAATTT